GTGGACTCCTCTGTGCTAACCCCAGGTGCTTTTGTTTTGCTTGTAACCTTTAAACTGGACCTCAAGAAAACCATTCTTGATGCTTAATTATTATATTTGCTCTTTTTAAATCTAGCAATAGCCTAAGTTCCAGATGTATTTTCTTTCTTTTTGTTTTTAATAAAATTTATCTTTAAGAACAGGATTGGGTTTTTTGTGTCCTAAGAGGTTAGCGCATATGTTGTTTAATTAGCTGGTGGCAACAGCTGATTTCCTTTGTTTTCTTTCTCAGCTTTTCCCCGGAGGGGGTGTGAAAGGGTTTGAGGGTACCCCACAGGAAGGAATTCTCAAGTGCTCCTTCCTGGGTTCTCAAAAGCGGGGGCGGGGGAGAGTTGCACTTGGGTGGTAGCAGCATCTACCCATCCAAGGGGAGAGAAAAGCTGTAACCTTGGGAGTTTAATACCAGCCTGGAGTGGTCAGTATTAATTTTTTAGAATCCTTGCGGGCCCCCACCTTCTTCACTCAAAGTGCCAGAGGGTGAATCAGCCTTGACAGATCTATTCAAGGTGTGGCCAAACTGCAGCTCGCGAGCTGCATGCGGCTTTTTTACAGTTAAAATGTGGCTCACAAGCTGAAGCCCCAAGCCCTGGTGCCTCCCGTGGGGCAGAAGCCAAGAGCCCCGGCGCCGCCCCCAGGCTAAAATCCCGAGACCCACACACACACCCTCCCCCACATCTGGTAGGCAGAGAATGTGGTGTGGGGGAAGGGGCGGGAAATACTTCAAAAGATTTTAAGCCCTGAGCTATCGTGAGAGTGAGGCCTATAGAAAGAGAAGCTCTCACGTGTGCATTATATCAGGAAATTGCATCATTCTGTTTTCAGATGTTGTGCTGTGCGGCCCTCGTGTGCTCACGATCTCCCGGCATTCCACAGAATACAGTCTGTATTTACTGTTCACAGATCTCATTTGGAGTATAAACTTTCGTGGGTGAATGCCCACTTCATCAGACGCAAGTCTGATAAAGTGGGCATTCACCCACAAAAGCTTATGCTCCAATACTTCTGTTAGT